AATATCGTTACACAACTAGTCGCGCTTGGCGCTGCATTGTGTGTTAACTTTTGGAGAGTGTTAGATGGCAAAGCAGTGTCACCTCAGTATTATTTATCTATATTAATATTTTGAATTAGCTGGTAATCAGGTTTTATTTAAATTTTTACAATTTTTTGTAATTTTGTTATATGCTTGGGTGATTTAAAAAATATTTATTTGTATTTAGCTTTTATCTATTTTTAATTTGGTTATATAGTCATTTTATCACTTCAACTTAAAATTATTTCAGTTAGTTGTCAAGGCAACATTTCATTTTTTTCTAATTTTCTACATTGTTTCTACATTGTTTTTAAGGTTTTCATATGATATTTATATATGATCTGAGTTGTATTTGAATTTACAATTTTTTATAGATTATTTAACAATAACAACACAGTGGCAAAGGTAAGCTTAATGTTAAATAGTGGGAATGTGCATGAAAAAAAATAAACCAATATCGAGAGGACGGAAAAAGAGAATACTGGCTGATAACCACTATGGTACCGGTATATTTGTGCATCCCTTAGAGCAAATCCTGTGTGAACGGGATTATAAATCCATTATAAATCCACAAGGGGCTGAGTTTTTTTTTTTTTTCTTATAGAGAAGAAAATAAATGCGGGATGGGATTAGAAAATGTCAAAAACTGGATACAAACTGTTTCACCCACATGCGAAACACAGGTCAATGTAGGAGAGAGCATGTGTGCTACTATAACTCCTCGGCTCCAAAATAATAACAGTACTCACAGATGATTCAGAGTCATTAGAAAAATTTTGAAACAAAAACACATGCTGCCTATGCAGAGGAAATTGAGACTCTTTTGAAGCCTGAGCGTTCAACTTTCTCAGTAAAGCTGTGACTCTGGTACTAAGATTCACACTAGAGCAAAAAATAAATACATCTTGGTTTCATAAAGATCCAAGAAAGGGAGCATCCCATGAAGCTTTGTAAGAACAGACAGGTCTCTCTCTTTTTTTATTTTTTTTTTAAGGACAGCTCTCTTTTTTGAGGAAAGTTCCTCTCTTCTCTCAGTTGTGGACATGTTGGCTAACACATGGCATTTGAAATGGCAAAGTTCAAATGAGGTTCATAAAAACCACAGCAAGCCCAAGGGAAAAACCTTCCCATATTTTCATCTTTTCATTCTCTCTCTCTCTTTCTCTCTCTCTCTCTACCTCTCTCACTCTCTCTCTCTCTCTCTCTCTCTCTCTCTCTCTCTCTCTCTCTCTCTCTCTCTCTCTCTCTCTCTCTCTCTCTCTCTCTCTCACTCTCTCTCTCTCTCTCTCTCTCTCTCTCACACACACACACAGACACACACTCAATCTGAAATGCATTACCCAAGATCTGTTTGGAGCTGGAATAAATTGAATAGTGAAAAACAAAAATTGATAATGGACTCCCAAACCCCTTTATCATCATCAGATAAAATTCATATTTCACTGCACCTTCTACTGAGGAAAATATATATTGATTAAATAAGCAGGAATCCTAGGATGCTTTTTGAGGGAGATTTTTGGGCTAAAACTGGTAAGCCGGTGAGAAGTGGACCTGCGTGAAACAGATGCTATTGATGAAAAGAAGGCTGTGGAATTGGCCAATCACTTTCTTCACTGTAGTGAAAATGAGATTGAAAGAAAAGTGAAAGAAAGAGAGAGAGAGAGAATCTCATGTGTCCCTAGAGAACTGAAGAGACAGTCAGTCTGAAAGAGTGAGACACTCCAGTACCGACAGCCTGTCAGAGTGAAAGAGGCATCTGCCAGACCTCACACATACACAGACACACACACACACATTCTTGGTCACTCGCTTTCTACCTCTCTCTGTCTGCATCATGCATTCCCTATTTAAAGAACAGAATTTACGCAGATCTGCACACTGCAGCAGTTTTAAAAATGCAGCTTTTTGCACTTTTTTGCCTGAATTTTGGTCCCCGCAACACTGGAATATGAAATAAAATATAAGAATAAAATAAAAATAATTTTAAGGAGGACCAATTCTAATGTACATACAGTATTCTGGTATTTCATTGTAATGGAAAAACCCAAATAAATGCAATGCTTTAAAAAAAAAAAAAAACCTCTCTCAATTTCTTGCTCATTGTACCATTTTCTTCACCGTTCAGCACAAACACACAAACAAATATACACAAGCCAACATTCAGAGTGACCTGAACAGTGCATCTTTGGCCTTCATAGTCTGCTGTGTGTATTGTTGTGAGCAGTGACTCATCCATGCGGAGTGGAACCCCATAAAGCCGTCTTTATAAGCAACTCTAAGAGGCTTTCACTGTTGCAGAATCATCACCTCCTCCTGCAAAAGGACAATGATGACGAGGGAAATGTATCAGCAAGCGGTCAAAGCACAAATAGCCACGGAAAGCTGCCCAGACAGCAGATCACAGTTTGGACTGCTTTAAAATAAAGCGGCTCTGCTCCGATCTCCTACACTGACCTGAGAAGACATATGCTGTGTTCAGATAAACCACTGCTGCTTGTCACTTAGACAGGCTACAGAGAACACCTAGGTCGAGGAGTCGGCAGGGGTCAGGGTCAAAGGTTAAAAGGGAATGGCCCGAGTTCAGCAAGCGAGCAGGTGCTGAGGTCAGACGGACTTGTGATATTCTGTTGAATCCTGTGACACTTTATTTTCAGGTCGCCTTTCAGTAATCTAAAGCTCTTGGTAAATAAAGTAATCTGTTGCAGACAAACACATCAATCAATGAGTCCTGACTGACCAGATGATTTCACAATGGGTCTAACTCAATGTTATCAAATGGATCAATACTGCTTAACCGCATATGTGCTGGTTATTAGTGATATGATAATTATAACTACAAAGTTACACTAATGTTCAAAAAAACTAGTTTAAGCATGAATACTTTTATTCAGCAAGGCCACATTAAACTGAATTGACAGTAAAGACTTTTAAAAATGTTACAATGTCTACAAATGTCTACTCATCAAAGAATCCTGAAAAAATGTATCAGGGTTTTAAAAATAATAAATGTTTCTTGAGCAACAAATCAGCATATTAAAATGATCTCTGAAGGATCGATGTGACACTGAAGACTAGAGTAATGACTGCTGAATATTTGACAGCACAGGAATACATTTAATTTAAAAAGGTATTAAAAAAGAAAACAGATATTTAACTTGTTATAATATTTCACAAAATTATGCCTTGATGAGCATAAGAGACTTACCGACCCCAAACCGTTGAACAGTTGTGTTTGTATAGTTTATGTTTAACTGTATCCTCTCATTTTATACTGCTGAACAACATTCGAACAACAAATACAGTTATCTGTGAAAGTAAAACAAGACAGCATCTAATAACCTCGGAGTAAAGCCCCATACGTTTCCTATCTCTGAAATCATATGCTCTCTTATAAACTGAAATAAGATCACCATAAAAACACTATAATGAGAAAGTACATCTCTGTGGCTTTTCCTCTGCAGTACAGCATGAAGCAGACAGATTGGAGCAGCTCTTATTAAATGTCTTAAAGGGATTTCAAAAAGCTCAAAGTGATTATGTCTGGCAGACCCTCCATCAGAGAGCTGACTTTCACAATAGCAAAGGGTTAAAGCTTTCCTGAAGATTAAACATGCACCACACTTCCTACGGTCATCCATCATATAACAAAGAAAACCAGTGGCTTTGAAGAACAAAATTCTGCTTGATATAGTCAGAAAAATATTTAGTTGTAATAAATAAATAAATAAATGGACCATGAGAGACCATGAGGCCCACATAAAAAAAAAAAATGACAATATTTCTTCTTCCCTTTTGTGATGTATAAAAATTGCCAGGAATTTACAAGATTATTGTTAGGAATTATATTGTTTTAGTACTGTAGTGTTCCATTTGGATCTTGGACATTGTGTATTCATATCAAAATTCTGATCTAGCCAAGTCAGAAGTATGACAAATGAAAACATTTGTTTAAAACAATGTCAAGCTAGAATATAAAATAAGCAAATTGGCCTATTTTAAGTTAGTCAAACTATACTATTGATAGCATCTTTCATTTGAAAGTCGAATTTTTTCATCTTAAAAATATATCTAAATTACACCATATGCTCTCAATGACAAATGAGGAACAGTCAGTTCATGGGTTCATGATATAAAGAATAGTTTATTGTAATGGTCTACTGGGTGGTTGCGGTTAAAATTCCATTGGGTGTTTATAAGGAGAACTCTGGCGCAAAATGATCGTTTGGTTTAATAACACATTGGTACCTAGTCAACCGTTCACTGAGATCTGCTTTCATGATAATCACATGTAAGGAGTTTTATCTCTAAAAACTGTTTAGATTATAAAGCAAGTATATGGGGGCATTTAATAAGTAAAAAGAAATCGCTCGTTTAATACCACTAAAAGGCTCAAAATAGCTCCACACTAACACAGTAACATAATGAGGGCAGCAGTTTTTAGAGGTAAAACTCTTTACATTCGATTATCACGAAAACAAATCTCAGAGAACGGTCGACTAGGTACCAATGTGTTATTAGACCAAAGGTTCATTTTGCGCCGGAGTTCTCCTTTAACTGGATCATAGAAGGAATCTACCCAATCGTTTCACGTGAGTGACTGTTTGTGTCAGGTATTCATTTGGACTATTTCCCAGATTTTTTCATTACCTTTTAATATTTTAATAATTTAATAATTTTAAAATCTTTTCCAGGGCCTAGACATAAGTTTTATAATATCTTAGGATTCCTTGTAGTACTGTATAAAAAGTAATACAAGGCTTCCTTCAACTGTTACTTTTATCTGCACATTGAACACACTCTATCACAAATAAAGGCAATATCTCCAGAAAAGCAGGTACTTTCTTTTCTTTTTTGAATGATTGAGTATCTGCAGTACAAGGCCACATTGTATCATATAAAACACCAAGGACAAACACAGTATGCTGTAATGAGCACCCTGTTTGGCCAAATAACTTGTGCTGAGAAAGTGGGACACTCACTGTTTCTAGTCTCCTCTGCGATGCATTCCCGAATGGAGTCTGTTAGACCGAGGCTGGCAGCGCTGGGTAAAGGGCCGAAGAGGGCTGTCAGGGGCATACGTGTGGACTGCATACTAGATATCGGTACCGTATCCTTACTCGCCTCCTGATCTTCCATTCCTTCCTGGTCCCCCCGCTCTAGCACCTGACTGATGAAATTCTGGTTGAGATGTTGGGCTGCTGCCTCCATTTCTTCATCGTCTGGATCTTCGTCCCCAGTCACCCCAGAGGCCAAAGACACACAGTCATCATCTGAAAGGATGTTAGAGAATAATATAAAATAACACTGGTGTATCTGCACGTGCATCAGTATAAAACCACACAATAATCTCTGTTAAGAACAAATCATCAGCAAATTGTATTCAGATAAGCCTAGGTGTACTAAATAAACAAACACAGCACTTGATTTACCTTCTCTTGTGTAGGAGGCATAAATCCCTCTCAGTTTGGTTCTGCTGCTCCCTGCCAGCTGTGTCTCAATCTCATCGCGGTATGAGTTGATCTCACCTGCAGACAGCGTACACACATGTACACATGAGCCTGACATCTCTGATTGACAGTTACATTTTTCTGTCTCACAGATATTAAGTATGCAACATAGATTCCTTGGTAGAGTGTATTCAATGTTCAGAATATATATGATAATGGCACGTAATTATGTATACTCCAAACACATTTAGACAGTTCATTAAAACAGCTGCTGTCGGTAAGGTGGGCGCTCCAAACCACAGGGGCATTTTCTATTCATAATCATAGAAAAAATCTTGAAATGCTTAGCGTAGCCGAGATAACGCACCACAGATAGCATTCAGATCCCTTGCTGAGTCAATAGAGAGAATAAATATCTTATTCCAGGAGGACAGACTAACCTTGATATTCCTCAAGTTTCTTGGACAACTCGTGCTCCAGCTGAAACAATGACATTTCGATTAAGAGAACCATTGATCCAGAGTCTCATATGGCTGAATATTATATTCAAAGCTTGATATCAGGTCATAAACACACATATACATACCTAGACTATTATTTAAAATATTTTTTGAGGTCAGTGAGATTTTTGTTTATATATTTTTTAAAGATTTATACAAGTTCTTTAAATTATGCTAACCAAGGCTGCATTTATTTAGTTAAAAATACAATAAAATAGTAATATCATTAAACATTATTATGAATTAAAATAGCTGTTTTCGATTTGAATCATTCTAATACGCTGATTTGCTGGTCAAGAAACATTTCTTGTTATTATCAATGTTGAAAATAGTTGTGCTGATTAATATTTGTAAGGAAACAGTGATACGTTTTTTTTTTTTTCTTTTATGAATATATTAGAAAGTGCAAAACAACAGCATTTATTTGAAATAGAAATCTTTGTAATATTCTATTCTTGAACATAATTCAAATAAGTCTTTACTGTCATTTCAATTTATAGTGTCTTTGATGAATATACATTATTTATAAAAATAGTATAACATAGTTATAATTGGACTATATCATATTATTGACCATTAATCAACTTAACGCATTTTTTCTAAATAAAAGTATTCATTTACTTTTCAACCTTTCAACAGTAGTGTATGTCCCATTTGAGTACCTGCTGCATCTTAAGTTTTTTCTTTCCAGCAACAAAAGATGGAGGATCACATTCTTGCTCAAGGTCCACTCGCATGAACTCATCAATGGTCAGGGAACTGGTGGGGGTCTCCTCAAACTCTGTAAGCCTGGGCATCAGTGCAGAAGAAACGTTTGTGAAAATGTTACAGTACAGGCATCAGGGGTACACAACCTATCAAATGAGTTTTAACTTGGGATGCACTAGTATTAAAATTCTAGGTGATACCAATAGTATATATTATAACACAGGGCTACTATCTGCTAGTATTCTGATTGATTTTTCTGATTACTTTTCTAGTGACAAAGAATGTGTGGGGTATTAAAATTAAACGAACAGTCGGGTCACTACTTGTTTTGTGTGACAACAACATACAATTTCCCTAAGAATCTGCTCAGACCAGCCATGACATTCACCTTTTTCTCAGCGTGGCCTCGCACACCTTGACGACAGATATCACCTCCTTCACTGTCCGACGGAATTCATGCATACGAGCTGCCACGAGCAGAGCTGGGGGAACAAGGGGGAGAAAATGAGAATAAATGTTTTGTCCCCCAAACAGTATCATTCACAATTTGTATTACATTTCACCACCATGCAAATATACAATGTATGTGCCATACAAAAGTGTTGAGAGTGCATTTTCTCTAGAAATGGAGCATATGTAAAAAGAATCAATGCAGATGCTGAGGTTTGTTGTGCGATACAGTAACCCGTTTAGTAGACATTATGTGAATAGAGCTGGGGAGAAGTGTTGAAGAGAACAACAATAAAACAAGCCTCTTCAATCCCTCTTCCATCCACTGTCAACATGAAATATTACTTCTCAAAGATGCATGCAATTTATAGAGACAATATTCCTATAATTGTACACCATGTTTATTTACTGACACTTGTGTATGAATTTATGTTGTCCTAAAAAGCACAAAAAAATAATTAATATTAAATTAAATATTATTAAAATATGATTAATTTAATATTATATTCTATATATTTTTATTTAATATGTATCTTTATTGTTCTGGCATATCTTTTTTGTAGACTCAGTAATTCAGTTTTTAATACTGTAAAATATTATAACAATTTAAAATATTATTAAAATGCAATTTATTCCTGTGATGGCAAAGCAGAATTTTCTTCAGTGTCACATGATCCTTCAGAAAGAATTTTAATATGCTGATTTAGTCCTCAAGAAACATTTCTTATTACTATCAGTATTGAAAAAATGTGTAATTTTGTGAAAACCACAATTTTTTTTATAGATGGATATAGAAAGTTCAAAATAACAGCATTTTTTTAAATAGATTTTTTAGTTGAAAAGAAAAAATATTTACTGTCAATTTATCAATAAACTGCATCCTTACTAAATAAAAGTATAATTGAATAAAATATATGTCAACCCTAAATATATCCTAAATGCTGCAAACGTATTGATGAATTATCATTCATTTCTGTATGAAAACGTTTTCGCAAACACACGCACATGCACAGTAGGTGACACCCATTATTTATCTTTTTTGATTTTCTCTTGATCCTTGTTTTTGCAGTGTTCACACTCTGAGCCAGAAGGTGGAGTGTAGTTGTGTGTTTACTCCCTTCGCTCTAAAACAATCAACCTCAATACAGAAAACTGACATTTACACTTACCATATTCCCCTGAACACTGTGAATGATTAATGATGAATTATTAATTATTCAGATATTGCAGGAGCGGATGTTAGATGGGTAAAGTGAGACAGTGAGAGAGGCCTGAACTAGAGATGCAGGCAGGAAGTCTGCCTTTAATTCCTGTGCAGTCAGGGCAACTAGCTGACGACAAGGTACAGGGACGAACAGTTCTGCTTCAGATCGAGGGCACCAAGATCTGTGCGGCGGTAAAGCACTTGCTGATCTTGTTTTTATCCTTGTTATGAAACTCGCTGCTCCAGTTCCCATGTCAAACTTTTAGCACATTAAGGGATTTGCTTTATGATCTGACAAATGAGCAGAAATGAAGATGAAAAAAAAAACAAGTTTCAAGCTGAAAAAGGAGGTCAACAACTCCGAAGTTAATCCAAAACAAAGGACTGATGTTTAAAGGGATAGTTTGTAGATAAAATATCTACATTTTTATCTAGATTTTTTTAAATAAAAATCATCATTTACTCACACTCTTATTGTTCAAAACTTATATGATTTTGAAGAATGCCTCAGCTTTTTTGTCTTCTCAATAATAACCAAAGGGATTCAAAAGTTTCACATTCTAAAATAGACATAAAGGAAGTAATTCACTTAACTTTAGTGGTTTAAAGGGCCTTTCACACTGCACTTAACCCCGGGTTATCGTCGTTCTAAACACTGCTTTTAACCCGGTAAAGGAGCGTTTCACACTTATACACAGTTATAACCTGGCATATTAAACCCTGTTTTGGAGCAGGTAAGCAACGCTTTTGACAAAACTTGTACAGTGTAAAACGATGCGTTATTAGAATGTATGCAACTAGATGCTTAGCAATTGACAACCAATCATTTATTCACATGCTTTGGGAAGTAACAGACACACCACGTCACGTCGTTTCTGCATATGATAGGACAAATGTCAAATGGCGATGGAAAACGTGACATTTGGAGTGAAGAAGAGACAGTCTCATCCTTACCTTTATAGTTCGAAAAGAAAAATATTACAATGAAATTATAGTCTGCAACGTGAAACATGAATAAAGATAACCCAGAATTCCGTTTACCCGGGGGTTAACTATCTCTATAACTATGTAACAGCCTGTTTAACTGTTCTCAATGTGATTTGGACTTTGAATACCTGAGTTGAACAATGATTTTATTTGGACCTTATTGACTTTTATTCTATGGACAAAAACAGTTCATTAAACATCTTCTGTGATGTTCCACAGATAAAAAAGAAAATCATACAGGTTTTGAAACATGAGTGAGTAAAAGACAGATTTCTCATTTTAAGGGTTGACTATCCCTTTAAGAGACCTCCAAACACAACAAAGGATTTATCATTTTGACATTAGACAATCTACCTGCGCCACACAAGCCTGATGGTCGCCGCCCAGTGTGCATCCAGTCTCTTTTCATCCTCTGCAACAGTCTCAGAGCAGTCATCGAAACCTCATGAGTCTTTTCACCAAACTCCAACATGTGGGCGAATCGTGGAATGTACAGACACGGATCTATAGATAGAAATCAACAGATCTGTAATCAGCGTCTGCTGGACACAAACCTGGGAATATAACCTACATTTAAGTTTATTACAAATCAAGGCACCACATCTCTGTGAACCCCATTTAGCTGATGCATTTTCAAAGGCTAAAAAAAAATCATAATTTTATGTGGTTCTCCTTGTTGAATCTAGAACACAGTCCCCCTATGGGAACCTTTAAAAGTGGTTTGGCTAAGAGTCACTCAGTGGGAGCAAATATCCCTCACTTCCACCTACTTCTAAGTCCTTGGGTAAACTCATTTCACTGGCCCAATAAAGCCCAAACATCACTGCTGTCCTATTAAGAAGGAAATGAGCTCAGCTAGGAAAGGCGGCCATCTACAATCCTATCTAAGGCTACACTATAGGGACTGCACCTGCACTTACGAAGCATAGTATGTTCATTGAAATCCCCCTAGACTGTGTCTGTCACTGGCCTTTTTATACATATAGATAATTTTATATTAAATTATCATAGTAATGCAGTAGAGCAGAGCAGTTGACATAGCAAATATTCAGTGCCATTTGTGAAATAGTATAAGTCATTTAAGAAAAATGTTACTTTCTCATTTAACATTCTTTGTAATGATCCATACCGAAAATACTGAAAAATAAATTGATTTTCTGACTGCTATTTCAGTCATGGCTGTAAAATTATCTGATTTGTGAGACTGTGGCTGTCAGAGTTTGATTAAGGGAAAAATGATAAATGAAAAGAGAGAAATAATCAAATAGATCTGTAAGAATTGTTGGAGGGGATGTCAAATTTGGCATTGCAGTAAAAGAGGCTTTTGAAATAATTATTGGTGAGGGTTGTGGACAGCAGTACAGGATAGGATTTGAAATGTCATTTATAATAAAATCAGATGCTGCATTTCCTATAACAGACCCACCTATAGAAGCAAAATTATGGATGATGCTCTTCATTTTGGGGCTAAAATGTATTCTTATACAGGCTGAATAAAGACATCCCATAAAAGATGCACCCAGGGACCCTCAGACATTTCAAACTCAGTATCTGTCCTTGTCTGATGTGTCTGTAATTGTTAAAATCATCATTTGCTTAGGGGATAGCTTGATTTTGATGCAGTGAGAGCGCTAAATTAAAAAGTGCTAATGAAAGCCTTTGGCAATTACAGTAGTACACGGCAAAACTGTATTTTCAATATACAGTTTCTTCTGCAACCTGACAAAATGGGTTGCAGAAATTTTGACAAAGCCAAAATTTGCTATTACAGTGGCAATGTGGACTATCGGGCTGTATTCAACCAAAGAAATCCTTAGTCGACCAAAGTCGAGTCCTGCTCGACGATTAGTCGACTAAAAAAAAAAAAAAAACGTGATATTTTGATTAAACATTTTTTAAACAATTGTCATTGAGCATTTATAAAACAACAACGAAAAAACATCACAAATAAATAAAACTATAATAATAATATAATTATTTGAAAATTAAGTGATTTTTTAACTGCAAAAAGTGAAGAGCTCTGTCCTAGGTCTATAGTACAGTCCCAATCGCGCACCTGACCACACCACACGCTGCAAAAAATATAACTGCTATCTGCCACATAATGAAAAATCCCAACAAAAGCTCTCGTTTATACAGGCTTTATATTCTTCTTTACTTTCAAAGCTATGGGTTAACTTTAGTCCTGACGATCAAGGCGTTTTAAACAACACTCAAAAAAACCCAAATAACTTAAAAACAATCCTATAATAGGCTGTACAGCGTATAGGTTTATTTTCGTTTTGTTGCATTATTTAGGCTATTTTCAAATGCGTCAAGTGTACAAATAAAAACGAAAACATTAAGAAAACACAATCTATTGAGTCAGCATGATATAGCCGTTAAAAGGCTGCTCACGTCTTTTGCGCGCTCAAGTTCGATTTTAAATGTAGGCGCGCGACTTGCGCGCTCATAATGGCAACGCGATCGCCTCCCTCCACAGTCTTGTCGTCTTTGTTTTAAAATGCAGCCAGACAAAAGATTTATATTTCCTGGACATTTTGTCGACTAAAGCCAAAACAAGCAGCGTTCTAACAGAATGAATACAGCATCCCTTACCGAGCGCGAGCAGCAGCGCAGCCAGCCACAGGTGCGGTTCCCGAGTGTATTATGTGTGTGCGCTAAACTGTGGCGCAGTTACAAAAATAGCCTAAATTAAAGCATTTTAAAGTTGGGGACAAAACATAGGCTAATTATATTTAGAATACAGTAATAAATAACTGATTATAAATGAATAAATATCAAGGAGTAAGTCATTGAAAAATGCCTTCTATTGGTAAAAAAAAAAAAAAATGCAACTGGTCGACCAATAAGAATGTCAGTCGACCACGACGGCATCGACCGATTAGTCGACTAAACGACTAAAGTTGACAGCCCTAGTGGACTATGCATCCTTGTAAAGTTCCCTTGGCCTTTGGAATTAAAATAGCCCCACTTCATCACATACCCTTCACCATACCTAGAGATTGGCATGGTTTTATTTCAGTTAGCCTAATAGCTTTTGATTTGCATTAAGAGATGATCTTGAAAAGTAACCTAAGCCAATCTCTAGGTATGTGATGATGTGGGGCTATTTTAATTCCAAAGGCCAAGGGAGCTTTATCAGGATGCATAGTATCCTGTCTGCAAACGCAAGGTCTCTCGCTCGCTTACCTATCTGCCGTGCAGTTTGGAGCACAATATCTGTCTCACATGCACGCTTGCTCTAGATTACGGGATATTTAAAGTAATTTTGGGTATAACTAGCCGTCTAGTCGATCACGAGTGGCTCAACAGGTAGATTTATAGATAAACTCATCTTTCAGGCATTTGACTGACCGGGTTGACACTTCAGCTTGAGAAATCAGGGGTGTGGCATCAGAGTTGGCAGCCCTGATTTAACATAACACCCTGGCTTATTGGCCATTTTAAGGAAGAACATGTATTTATTTATGAAGCATTATTCATTCATGCAGAAAATTGGTGTGCTTAAAGGTTGGATTTTTCCTCTTTTTTAATCAAGGCATTAAGATCAATTTCTAAAAGATGATTTTATATTCCTCTTTTTAGTTAACTTTAGCATGGGTGTGTTCACTTATGCTAAGCACTGTATGTCATGCTAACATTGCATGAGTTCCCACAAAGTTGAAGTATTGAGTTTAAATGGAATTGTGTTGCATTGTGGTATATGAAGCTGCCTGATGTGTACATACTTTATGAGTAGAGTCACTCCCTCAGTCAAATTGAGGGGTCAAGGGTCTGTTTTTATAAACTTCCCTCGTCCACTTGACGAAGTGGAACAAACCTCAAAATGGCGGTAAAAATAGGCTGAAGAGAAGTTTTAGGAAAGTTTGCAAGTGTTGGTCTGAAAGGAAAGTAGAATGCACCCCCTGTATGTTTTTGTGTTAGCATTTAGTTGTTTTTATTTCATTCCAATATTAGCAGTGCTTTTGAACTTCATAGTGACCTCTATAGGCTTTATGCGGAGCATCACGTGACCAAACCGGAAAACAGGTCTCATCGCATCCGCTTGTCATAGAAAGTGTTAACGGCCGTAAGAACTGACTACAATATCTATGGATTTTTAAAGTCCCCGTGAACCGGAAGTTGCAAAAGATTTTTCTCCAGTGCTGTGACGTATTTCCAAGTGAAACGGAATATTGAACAGAGGGCAGGGTTTTACTCTAGCGCTCCTCCTCTCCATCTCTCGCTCATAGCAAACTAACGGTTTGAGGGGAGTGGTTAAGCGTTTCCCCACCCAAGTTGTGAAACCTACGTCATCAGAAAAAGAAACCGTTCCAGACCGGAAGTAACTTTTCAGATTTTGATTAAAGATTACGAAGGTAAAACATTTTTTAAATATATTTTTACTTGCACGGATTAATTGTTCACCACAAGACTAGTAATATGCGCTAACAAAGTAAATAGGTTCAATTTTGATTTCACGGGGACTTTAAGGTAATCAGCTAACCTACCTAGTTCACTTTGTTATTGTCGTTTTATTCCATTTAAATATCTAAACGTTACTGTGAAGAAGAAAAAATATAAAACGTTTAAATATTAATCTGCATATGTGAGGGACATTGGTTATGCTAAACTTTGCTCGCTCCTTTTAAGTTATCTTGAGTAAAACCGCAAAAAATTTTATGAAGCACATACAAAAGACCTGGACCGGAAGCGATGAGACCTGTTCAAGCAGAATGCGGAAGTAAGTTGTGCATAGAGCCTATTGGTCGGGATGCATGGATTTTATTTACTAACTGCTGCCATTTCACAACAAAGTTGTTTGGTTGCGTGTGATGCAAGGAAACAGTTTCCAGGTTCAAACCTCTAATCGTTTCAATCAACAGTATATGCTTTTGGCATCGGAAAGAGCGTTTGAACCTGGAAATAGTGATGTGTTGTATTGTGAAAGCACCTTGAAGACTTAAAAGCGCTATATAAAGTACTAGCAGTAGTCAGAACTGCATTATTGGCTGGTCTTAAATGCCAACATGGCACCATCCATGAGTGGGTGACTGCTTTATGTAGAATGAGCAGCTTTTTCTAAAAGCCTCATATGACTGGATTCTGCATCTCATGTTTACATCAATTGAATCACTCAAAAGGTGTTACTAAATTCATGTAGCCTAGCTATAAAACTTTTTAATTAATAAAACACCAGTGCATCTTCAAAAAGTTAACCAGATTCTCTCACCCAAAGTGATGACTCACTATAAGTGCTTTAGATTCAGAACATTTCACTCACTGTGTGCATGTTTCACAGACTCTGACTGGCAAAAAACATCATTGTTTAAATTGTGTGAGATAGATAAGCCGCTTATCGTAGGCGAAGGATCCACTTTCCAGCGCCGGAGCCCTCTGTTGGAGATCCGGGAAAGCTGTGCAAGCCCAACCCCCTCTCTCTCATAGCACACTGTAGATTTAACATGGCTCCTGGTTGCCAGCGAGCCTTCAAACATCAAACCTGAATGTATTTTCCTGGC